GAGTGCTCAAATATCTTGATGTGGAACTTGCTGCTATGGGTATCAAAATGAGGTTCCAAGTCGATAATTAGTAGTTAGCATTATCTTTTCATTTCTCAGATTTTTTTGTTTATACTACTTGGTTGTGCACGACAGTAACATATGCCTAGATATGTTGCCATCCATTCAATTCATATTCTCATAAGAGATAGATATTAAGCCAACAAGTTATGCTTATGGGTAGGTTACCAGTAAAATTCGAGACAGTGTAGAAGAAGAAATTAGCCTTGGGATACTGCTTGGGATGTTAGGCACAGCGGTAACTACAGCCTCTAATCAGCCGTTTTGGTCACGGTGATTCTGGGATCTAATGACAACGCAATGTTGAGTTAAGACCCCTGAGCGAGAGTTGTGCCGTAGTAATCTGCCTCATTATATGCAGATACAAGACCATTTTCATCAGCCTTAATGATAAAACCCGGCATAGTCAGTGTTAATATATCTCCAAAGTACATCTATGGCTTCTTCCCTCCTTTTGATTATCTTCTCGGGCTAGTTACAGTTGTCACGTGACTTGGCCAAAAAAAAGAAATCTTCGACCTCCAGCAAAAAGACGACGAAGAAACACGAACAAACGCGACTCTACAGCCAGCTTGACAGGAGACGACGGAAACGGTATCGAGCCAGTTATACAAATGAGCCGACAACATCCAGTAGCCAGGATGCAGGATCCGGCGGGAGGAGTGCCTCCTCAGCTCGTACGTGAGAGTTCTGATGTCAAAATTAGAGCAAGATAGATGGCTAACGGGTCTATAGCTACCACACTTGCACCTGGTGTCTTCCTATCGGTACCCAGCTTCAGCTGCGTTCACGCACGAAACGGCGGTGGAATATCTACTAGCGGCGCCCAAAGTTGTCAGAGAGCTTCAGCCAATGCATTGGACCTACCTCGATGGACCGCCGGACAACACCGTTATGCTGACATGGCAGCCTCTGAACCACCTGGGAACCAATTTCGCGAGTGACGGCTATGTCTGGGCTGACGTCGAGCAGGCCTACACGGTCGAGGTTCGCGGCTATGTATGAACAATGATGATTCCAATGCTTGCTCGTCGATTTCGCGTTGTGTTGCTGATTCCTTTTTGCGCGCAGATTCTTGAGATATACATGCACAGAACAGGGTACCATCCACCAAACGAGACCATGGCCACTCACTCACGCCGAAGATTCCGAATAACCGGCCTTAAGACTCCCAACCCAAATCTACCACCATGCGATCCGTCTCTATGGATCGTCTTTTATAGCAAAGCGCCCTCCATCGACCAACTTCCGACTTCTCGCATTCCTGTTTCTCCCCAGACACAGAACATACTTGGCCAGCGTCGCTACATTCAGAGTCAAGGCCAGCTGGCCAGGAAGGAATTCATGCTGCATGACAGGAATAACTGGCCCACCATCAACTTACCGCCTCATGGACAGCAGCAACAGCCTTACCCCCAGCCCTACGCTGCGCAAATGATAGCCCGTCAGCAGGTTCCGCACCCACCCATGCAGCAGCAACAAGTCGTTGGATATCCTCCTGGTGTCGCCCCGCCCAAGGCCCAACGCACTCAGCGATTACCTACCGTCGCGGCCCCTGCCGTCCCAGACTTCTCTCTGGATGACGAGGAAGTGTCGACAGGAGACATTCTCGATGCACTTACGCCCAGAGATATCAGTCGCATGCGTTACAAGAATCACCACGAATGGATGGAAGAAGTCTTGGCTTCACCGTATCGAATGGACCAGATACTCCCTGTCGACCTTGGACTCGGTCGCAAGGGTGAGCTAGAGAGCTTGACCAAGGGTTATTTCTACGCTCCTGGCGCGCTGGCATCCCAGCGAAAAGAAGGTGACGGGCCACCACCAGCAACTGGCAAGATGGACCCTGGGAAGGCAGAGGAATTTGCCAACTCTGTTGCTAAACGACTTGCAGAGATGAATGCTGAGATGGAGAGCATGAGAAAGAAACATGCTCGCAAACTGGAAAGGACGAAGAAACTTTCAGCCTTGAGAGAAGCAGAGTTAAACCTACGAGATGCAGTCATTGATCCGTCAGACACTGGGGATGAAATCTGGAGGGTTGAGGGACGACTGCGCCTTGAGCAAGAGGAAGGCATGTCACCAGTTGACTACAGCGATAAATCCCTCAAGAAGAAGGTAGACGATATTGTCAACGGACTACAAGCCAGCTGGGGGAGGACTGTTGTTCCGGTCACAGATATCAAGTGTGTGGAGAAAGGAGGCCTACAGGAGCGGGTGCAACCTCCACCACCGCCTCCTCAGCCCGCTATATCAGATGCCAACATGATTAACACATTACATTATTCGCAGTACGACGGAGCAACCGACGGCGGCGTTGAAACGGGGCCTGGAGTCTCTGCTCCTGCACAGGGGGTACCTACATCCGCGCCCTCGCAGCCGATGCTATCATCAGCGGCACCACCACAACCCGTCACCACGGCTCCGCAAACTAGCGAAGACGTTGTCATGGGTGGTGTTGAGTCTTCAACGCAATCACATGCAACACCGGGGCAGCCAGCAGCAGCTGAAGGGGATGGAGACTGGGTAATGGTAAATAAAGATAGCCAGGCGTCCTCGGCGTCACCCTCCAAGAACCTCAGTTCTACCGTGGATGAAAACACACAGCAGCCCACCTCCACCGCCGGAGCACCTAGCACAACCACTGCCGGGGGAACAACTGCTACCGTGCCCGTCGTAGAAGCCACTGTACCAGGAACCACGCCTGGGGCCACAGGCGAGTTTGAAGATGAGAACATCAATACTGCCGGAGAAGCACTGGCTGACTACCACGGAGATGTAGGCGGTCTTGATATGGGCGGCATAGATGACTCTGCCTTTGGAGATGCCTTCCATGCCACTGAAGGGAACATCGGGGAGCATCATCATGAGACAGATGAGATCGCGTAGACGGTCAGGTCAGCTGTACGACTACTTCAATACAGGGAGGCTGCTGGGTTGTGGAAGCTGGAGTCTGGAAAATTATTTGGAAGCATGCACTTGCTTTTTCTGTTTCTCTGCTATCTTCGACACCTATTTTATTGTTTGTATTTTATTGGAACAGTAAATGCTGTTATGTTTTATCAAATCGGTGATTTCGCGAGGAGATAATTTGGTATCTATCATTTTTGGCAGCATTGGTCACAAGTTTCTATCCGAAGAAGCCGCACGGAAATATAGTGATCTGGCTCGCTGAGGTCGACGATGAAACTACCTGCATTGTCTAGAAAATGCTCGAAAGCCACTCTCTAGTTCAAGATTATTTTTCATGCAAGGCGTGCCAGAGTTGAGCCTCAAGTCGCCGCCATCTATCGGCCTTATTCCCAGGAGAACAACGCGGGAGTGGTTGGATGCCTAGCAACCTTTCAAGCGACCTCGACTTTGTTCATGCAGGGGACGCACGGGACAGCGAGTTGACTGGATGCGATCAACTGGTTTTCGTCTCCTTGCACTGCCTCTCAAGTCTGCTTGAAGCATTTTGTGGCTGACCATGCCAGTGGAAAAGAAAACATGACTCGTGATATCATCACAGCGGACGGCCTATCGCCCATTCAACAATTTATTTCATGCAGACGCGCTGCAGCAGAGACTGAATAAATGATACGCCGCATTTCGGGCTCTTGATAAGGCTATTTCCGCGTAAATTACCCTTGTCGACCGCTTAGCGACCGCTATGCTGCCTGGAGATGGACCAGGCCAGCTGGCTATGGGTAGACAGGACAAGGAATATATATACTGCGCAGCAGAAATGTAGTCGAAGATGGAGGGCAGATATTTATGTAGAGGTGGTGACCTTGTATCTTCTGATATAAATAACTCCTCATGATCCGTCGTCTATTCCCTCCTTGTTCACTCAAGTCATCGTTATCCTCCCAGTGAACAGGTCACGGCACCAGGCATCTAGATCCGAATATCTATATAAAAATTGACTAGCAGTACGCCCGTTGAAGACAGTTAACCGCCTCCCCGTCCCACTTCAATAGAAGATATTCGGGGCCATACATACACAAACGCTATATCAAGGTACATCCCTATACCTAGCCGTCTTAGAACTCATTTCTCACACGAGAGAACTGCAGAACCAAACAGTTATCCTACACACAAAAGCCTAGCTACATCACATCCAGCCAACTTCTGCCAACAGCATAGAGGCAGCGCATCTTCAAGTCAAGAAGACGCTGGCAAGAACAAGCCCGTCAAGATGTGTCACTGCGTTATTGTCTGCAAATGTCTGCCCCGGTTTACGCTGATAGAGCCACGCCGTGGGATACAGAAGAAACCATGCCGTCTCCAACGAAGAACCAGCTATCTCATACCTGACTATCCTCCTCCTCGGCTGAACATAGGCAACTTCGACGACCGTCCCTACTGTGAGGGTGGGCCAGCCTTCTCCATCTACAGCCATTATAGGATGGAGTATCAGCGGGTACGCATTACCCAGAGGACACGCCGCTATGACCTGCCTCGTCTGGTGAGCAGGAGATACCATGAACCCCGATTCAGGACATGTAACCCATCTAGGTTCAGGGAAGTGCGGCCTGATGGGTATAATTTTGGGGACAATCTATGGTGATCAAACTGCATTTTCACTATGACTCTGGTGCATGCCGGAGAATGGAGAACGGAGTTGAGAGTGAACTGTGTATTGTTGCTGGCTTATACTTTCTTTTTTCACCTTTTCGGATATTGCATGTTTGTTCTTCCCTCTGGGTGGCGGTTTTTGATTCAAATTGCATTGTATACCCGTATTTTCAACACTCGTTTACCAGTTGGTTGGTGGTTTTGTATCATACAGATTGTCAATTGTCTAGTATCGATAGCCTTAATACCCCTTCAACGTTTGATACTAGAGCTATGTGTAAATAATCAATATCAGTTGTCTGTAATATTGAAGTTGTTGTCTCATCTTTTGCGAGCGTACCGATATATGGGCCAACCATATCCATCGACCAACGATAACAATGAAAAAGGGGGTCAAACTCACTGTCTACCATGGGACGGCGACATCGTTGTAGTTCTACTAGTTGCCTTTTACATATCTGAAAAGACCGTCTGGAATGACACATGACGTCATTACATAGGAGCATAAAATAAGGGAAGGAGACATTCAGAGGCGACTTTCGCCTGCTTATCGACGTTACCATGTTTACTCTGCTGATTCCTCTAGAGAGTTGAAGCAGTGTAAATAACCAGAAGACGATATTCACATATTCAAACAGAAGGGAGAGTACTTATCAAATCAAATATGTAAGTGGTGTGAGGTCAAGTTTTGAAACGAGCCATATATTCTGACCTCTGTAGGAACCGCACCCGACATAGTGTAGGCTCTGAGCCATTGAGGCACCGCTTCAGCATAGCCTCGCTACGAGGCATCCAGCAGCCTGAGTTGAGCAAGGAGCTGTTCAAGGTGATCAAGACCGAAGGCCATGCTGTCAACTCATACAAGAATGCAGGCCAGGACCGTGTGCTGGCGGCCTCACAGCTGTCAAACTGGGGTTTCAACACAGGAGACCCGGCAGTCTCTGATATATCAGACAAGCTGGGGATCATTTTGTCTGAAATCGGCGAGCAGGAAGACCTATACTCATATAACCTGGAGGACGCAAGATGTGTCCTGAAACATATCAGGAACACGGAGGGTTCTGTCCAGCCTGCAAGGGATCACAAGGCGAAGATTATCGATGAAATCCACAAGCATAAGCTCCGTGACCCGGATGGTGCAAAAGTCACTGGCCTAGAACAGGAGCTTGTCCGAGCTGAGGCTCGCGCTCTAGTTGCAGAGGCCCAGTTGACCAACATGGTATTTTCCTCATTATTTTGCCTCATTTTGCCTCCTGACAATGTAATATACTAACGCGATGGCAGACTCGTCAAAAGTTCAAGCAGGCCTTTGACCTACATTTGGCTGCGACCATCGAGCGGGCCGAGAAACAGGCCCAGCTTGCCCGTCACGGCCGCCGTCTCCTTGCTCTCATCGACGATACCCCCGTCGTCCCGGGGGAAGGTAGGGAGAAATTTGACCGCCTTGAAGACAGCCGTCAGATAATGGAAGATGCTGAGGCAGATCTCACGTCGTGGGAGCCTAACCTCGAGCCAGTCCCCATGGCCTCCGAAGGGCTCATCCCCAAGAAGATTGAGGTTCATACGAACGGAAACGGCGTCAATGGAAGCGGAGTTAATGGCAAGGCAGTAGAGGAGAGCGAGATCTAGGAGGTCTTCTCTTATTTTATGGGTCAAAAAGGCATAACTAGCCATATGATGCTGGAGTCGTCGCCCGGGGTTGGATTGCTGCTTTTGTTGACAATTAGTTAGTTAGTCGATGCTCATAATAGCTATATAATTAGGGTGTCCCCTACCTATTTTGCAGCTGCATCGTCGTCTCTCCCTCTCTGCATCACTTCATCGTCCCTCCTTGACTGCTTGTCGTCTTCAGCTTCAACTCCAACTTCAACCTTGATAAGAAACGAGTCATGTTCACGTGACCCAGGCCGCAAAAGGAACGCGAAAGCTCAAGGAGGAAGAAACAAACAGCCAGACAGACCAGCAAGAAACAGCTTCACCACCTTCGCAGCCTCGCAGCCGAGATATCTGGACCCTGTGGCAGCTTGTTCTGGCTTTGATACAACCGATACATACCAGCAGAGTCTGACGAATACCGCAGAATGGACACCCTCGTTGCCCAGTACTCCCGGCCGTCGAGCTTCCAGGACGACTACGAGGCCGAGCAGCAGGACGTCCTAGAGAGAGCTCCTCCACTGTCTCTCAGATTCTCCCTCCCTCCTATTGACAGAGTAGGTGACTGTAGGCAGCTGTTGTTTGTTGGGCCATAACTAACCGACTGTGCAGCCCTCCGCTTTCCTACGAGCTACAACAGACGATCATGCCAACCCAGACTGCCCTATCAAGATTGCCCATGGTACAACAACGCTCGCCTTCAGGTTCCAGGGCGGTATAATTGTAGCTACAGACTCGAGAGCCACAGCGGGCAACTGGATAGCCAGTCAGACAGTCAAGAAGGTCATTGAAATCAACAGCTGTTTGCTCGGGACCATGGCCGGTGGTGCTGCTGTATGTCTAGATCTCCACATCTTCCTGTTTGCACCATCTAATAAAGCTATAGGACTGCCAATACTGGCTCGCATACCTAGGCATGCAATGCCGTCTTCACGAGCTTCGACACAAACGTCGTATCTCCGTTGCTGCCGCCTCCAAGATCCTCGCCAACCTAGTCTATAACTACAAAGGAATGGGTCTCAGCATGGGAACCATGTGTGCCGGTGTCACTCCCGAGGAAGGCCCGGCACTATACTACATTGATTCTGACGGTACGCGGCTGCCAGGAAACTTGTTCTGTGTTGGATCGGGACAGACATTTGCATATGGTGTGCTGGATGCAGAGTACCGATATGACCTGACGGAAGAAGAGGCCCTTGCTCTTGGGTCTAGAAGTATTCTTGCTGCTACCCACAGAGATGCCTACTCCGGTGGATTTATCAATTTATACCATGTTAAGGAAGATGGATGGGTGAAGCATGGATTCAGCGATACCAACCCTATTTTCTGGAATACCAAGCTTGAGAAGGGCGAATTCTCAAACGTCTCCGAGAATATTGTGAACTAAACCTTCACATATCAAGCTGCTACTCCTTCTTTCTCTACAATATTCGATGCCGGCATGCATGGTGTATCGGATGGACAACTGCCTGGGATAAATCTACGGTGATTAATATACTGTATCATTATCAAGTCACCTGTGAATGAAACGAATGCACAAGACCCAAATCTGGTATCATGAATACTTTGTTGCGTATTACTGCCATGAACTCATTTCTCTTTCATTTTCCTTTTCCATATATCAACTAGTTTCTTTCCGCAGGTTCCTTGGTCGTCAACATCGGTGCTTGCGGAGTGGCTATAGTCCAGGGTTATTGATATATGGCAGCCCCTTTTTGCAGCAGCTCAACAGACTTGTTGCAGACATTCCCTTGACATTCAGGGCCAAATGAAGAAAAGGAAACAAATATCAGTCCTCCCTAAGTGCTCTACCTACCTATGTAAAAGAGGCCCGCCCGGGCGGCTGCAGATATGCGGAAAAAATGAAACTCCGCAGTAACTTTCGCTTGCTGGGCAGGGCCCCGACACGATCAGATGCAAAAGATAAAACAACTTGCAAGGTTAATATATAAACAAGAATTAAAGACTGAAGATAACTATTTCACATGAGAGTAGTTTTTCAGAATACTAGATATATACATATACTAGATACTAGAGCCCGTGTGCTGTAGTTCAAGCTGGCATCAAAATGGCATCCGCAGCGCTGAAGACGATAGACTCGCGGGAGACGCAGCATCTTCACGCCGTCGTGGACATGGGCAGGTAACTAGTTAACTAAAAAACTGATGGCCCCCTTTATATGTGTAAGCTAACCCTTAAGTAGCAATGGTATTCGCTTCTCAATATCCGACCTATCCCCTGTGACGCAGCGGATTATGCCAACGGTCTTCCAAGACCGCGCAGGCATCTCGCTCTATGATGCACAGTTTGGGGCTGAAGGCAGCGCCAGAAGGCCAATTCCAGACCAGGTCCGGGACCAGATAGTGTCACGGCTGCTGCGTTTCAAGGTGACCTGCGAGGACTTTGGGGTGCCAGAAAAGAATATCCAGGTGCTTGCTACAGAGGCTACCAGGACAGCACCTAATTCAGCAGACTTTCGAGCTGCCATTTACCGGGCGACGGGATGGGAAGTGACCATGCTGCCCAAGGAGGAAGAAGGCCGAATCGGAGGACTGGGGATTGCATCCAGTCTTTCCCGGGTCGAAGGTCTGGTCATGGATCTCGGCGGTGGCAGTGTGCAGCTGTCATGGATGATATCTACCCCGGACAGTACCGAGATACAGTCGTACCCTGGGGGATCAATTAGTTTCCCGTACGGGGCTGCTGCGCTGACCAGGAGGCTGGAAGAGGCACAGAAGATAGGAGATGAAGCGGTACGACAGCTCAAAGACGAGATGCTGGGCTGTTTCCGAGGCGCCGTCTCTGCTCTCGAGCTACCTGCATGTCTACAGAAAAGAGTAGAGAGTGATGCTGCGGGGGGTGGTGGCCTTGACCTGTATCTCAGCGGAGGAGGATTCAGGGGCTGGGGGTATCTCCTGCTCAGCCAGTCCCCTGTCAGCCCTTATCCCATTCCGATTCTCAACGGGTTCAGTACTGACCGGTCACGGTTCCTCGACACCTCCGCAGCCATCGGTACCTTGTCTTCTGAGTCGACCATCTACGGCGTCTCGGCCCGCAGAGCCACGCAGGTTCCAGCAGTGGCATTTCTCATCAATGTCCTGGCAGAAAGTATCCCATCGATACGCAAGATCCACTTCTGCCAGGGAGGTGTGCGTGAGGGCGTTCTCTTTGACAAACTGCCGCCAGAAGTTCGACAGCAACATCCATTGATTGCTGCTACGGCGCCCTTTAAGACTGGTTCTGCGTCCGATATTGCTCTATTGCTGCGGCAGGCCATACCGCACGCAGCTTCAAACGATACAACGAATCTGTATGCGCCTCCATCGGCTATAACTTCTCCTGGTTTCATCGAAGCCCTGGCAAATTCGATGTACATGCACTCGTCTGTTCCGAGAGCATCATATGCAAGCGCAGCTCTGCATTCTACGACAACCGGTATTCTTGCCTATGCACACGGTTTCTCCCATGCAGACAGGGCCATGCTCTGCCTTGCTCTCTTTGATAGATGGGCAGGCGATGTTTGCCCCTCAGATGAGCTGTTTCTACAGCGAATTCGGTCGATTCTCACCTTGCAAGAAGCTTGGTGGTGTCAGTACATTGGTCGAGTGGCCGGTCTGGTCGGCAGCATGTATCCTGGCGGAGTGATCAGAAGTGGTGATGATCGGATCAGCTTTTTGGCCAGGCTATCTCATCGTCAGACCAAGAAGGGCTTAACAAAGCATCTATTGAATCTCGTTGCTAAGGTACCAGATTCAAAGCACCCTTCTTTTGATGGAGACTCTGTCACAGCCGGGCTGAAGAGGATCAAGCGGACGGGAAAGAAAGGTGAGCATCTACGTGGTGACGAATATGAACAGACTGATCTACTGGACTCAGAAGACGAGGACTGGCGATTAAAAGTAGAGACCAAGCTGGACTGCATATAGTCTACGCTTGGGGCGTCCTTAGAGGTATAGTCCCTGGTACTTGTGAAGCATTGCGAAATGATTCTCTGTTGAGTATCAAACTGTCTACCGAGCAAAAATAACATCACCATCTAACTCCGCTATACCTTTCCAACCCATGATACGTATCTGTGTCTACCGAGGACGTCCACCCATGCCACCTGCACTGCGACCTGGTGGTGGGCCAAGGGAGTCTTCGGATCCATCGGACAGCGAATCGTCATCGAACTCATCATCAGTATCGTCCAACTCCAGCAATGGTTCCATAGTTCCACCTGAACGCCCCCAAGCCGGAGGACTATAAGAAGGCGGGCCTCGCAGTGCTGCAGACGCAGATGAAGGTCCTGGAGCATCTGGCTGCGGTCCAAAGGTCTCAAGTCTTTTCCATTTGGCCATGCAAGCCTCACAGATGCCTCTGATATCATTGACGAGGACGGCACTGCTACCTCCGTCCTCTGAGACGTCGCGCTCAATGACCGTCTCTACGGGGTCCCCTTCATGGCCGCACTCCCAGCGATCCTTGGACAGGTAGAATTCCTTCTTCCGCCCGGGTACAGGGTTGGCGATTTCTGGGTTCTGCGCAAGGATGGTGTCGTAGTCTTCCCACTCTGCAGGCTGGGGAGTAACGGGCCTCAGGTCTGGGTTGGCTGCCATGGCGGCCTCGAGCTCTGCGATCACAGCAGCCCCGTCGTCATCCGGGGCTCTAGGTGCAGATGCCTGATTGTTATTGTTGTTATTGTTGTTAGTTCTATTAGTATCTGGCTCTGAGCCGGAATCACTGGAAACGAAGGACATATTGGCAGCACAAAGACTGAAATCAGAGGCGCAGCAAGTTCCTGGGAGAGATATAAAGTATCTAGCAGTTCTGAACAGGGCCATGATAGTCTGTCTCTGAGAGATGATGGCCATTTATAACGTAGTGCCCTCATTTCTAGTAACTGACGCAACCACCGCCGGCTTCACCAGCCAGGCAGCCAACGCAATACTGTGAAATAACCCTGACCATTACTGAATATCACTAAATGTCTCAAC